TCAAAAAAAGTTTTAGAACCTCCGGAAATTCGTCCGCCAAGAAACGGGAACAAGAAGTCAACCTTTCCATCAGTCTCGACAAAAGCACGCTCTCTTTCGGTCGCGACATATGGACACAACTCTAGAAAAAAATTAAATTAGTCTAAATAAACGAAAACTTAATTAATAAAACTCTGTTAAAAAATTGTTAGTAAAAATAGTGCAAAATAAAAGAGTTAAAAACAACAAATAGAGATAAAGTTAACAATTGTGGGTAAAAGTGAGTGGTAGAGTAAATGAATTTCACATTGTTCCTCTGTTCAATCTAAATTGGAATTTAAAATACAGTTTTATCACTAATTATTGTTTACAAAAATCGTGTTAATTATGTGTATCAAAGACTAATTAATTATAATCAACTAATTAGAGTGCGTTGACATTTACCAAAATGGATAAAATGAGACATTTGTATGCGGCTTTTGTTGCCGTCGCAGTTTCCTGTTTGTTTCTGCAAAATGTTGCCGCAAAAACAGGTTATTGTTAATAAAGTAGAAAAAATTATTAAAAAAATTATGGTAATATATATTCGAAATGCCTGTTGGCAAGTTATTATAATAAATTATATATGAGCCAATTTAATCTAACAATAAGACAATGTTGTGCTCGTCGCCTATAGCTGATTGGTTGTTTCGTAATTACAATTGTCGTTGCCATGGTAACGATTAAAAACTGATATAAACTGATCAGATGGTGCTTATATTATACATTAATAAATTTTAATTATTATATAATTAACGGCTAGGCCGATCATCTCTTAAAACTAATCAAAGCGAGTCCTTATCAAGATACATCGAATGGCTTTTGAATTTTTGAAATCGGTTCAGCCGTTTTCACGAAAACGTCGATAAAATTTGAAATTTTGCATTGTCAAACGATTCAGAATGACTTAAAACGTCGAGAAAAAGAAATCGGTTTTTCTGGCGCAATCATAAACTGTTCCTCCGGGGTAATAAATAAATTAATTAATTAATTGAAAGTAATCACACTAAATACGATATTCTACCCGCACTTATACCTTTTTCAATTTTGGTCTCAAACGATTCAGAATGGCTTGAAACGTCGAGAAGAAAAAAAGTATCAAATTGGATTTGCAGATAAAATGAGCAAAGCAAAAATTATTTATCTAGAAGGAGAGGTAATTGTTTGGGGCTAAAATTCATATAGAATCCTTAAACTTCTGGGAGTTTTCATTTGAAAATATTATTAATTTTATTATTCAAATTCAAAAAAAGAAATTTGAGAAAATATTCAGTAGTTTTGCTTTGTAGCATTTTTTGAAAAAAGTTATTTTGCGGGCCCTGTAGTTCAGATAAAATAATCATATATGTTAGCCATTTTGGTTTCAGACAATCCTAAAACTTGAAATTTTCCAGCAACATAAAGAAACTGTTCAGCCGATCGTCGAAAATTAATTAACGCAAGTTTTATCGATTTTCATCAAATGTCATTTGAATTTTTTAAATCGGTCCAGCAAATTTTGAGAAAACGCCAATAGATCAAATTTCGCCTCACACACACATTTTTTTCAATATTAGTCACAAACGATTCAAAACGACTTGAAACGACTGGAAAATATAAAAATAACAAATTAAATTTTCAGATTAAAAAAGGAATTTTAAGTTTCAGAGAAAACAACGGTAATTGTCTATATATCTAATATTATTGGGGCAACGTTGTCAGATTGTGCATAAATTGAGCTAGAATCCTTAAATTTGCGGTGTTGCCAAATTGCATAAAATATAATATAGTAATTTTGGGGTTGCCTCATGCACAACAATTTGAAAAAATTAGAAAAGAACTATTTGAAAAAATATCTTATAAAATTGGTTTAAATTTATTCCTTGAAATGTAAGAGTCTAAAATTATCCTGAAGGCGATATTGCTCAAAGTTATCATTACGCCGATGCGACATTCAAACATAACCTTTGTTATTATAAAATTCCAAAGTGTCTTCGATATTAATAATATATTATTATTTGCATGATGCACAACTGGAATGGAATTTAGGTCAGTTTGAGGGCTAGGCCTTTGTAATAAAATTATTATAAGGTGACGATCAGCCAAGCCGTTTCTTCATTAAATAGAGGAATAAAGTACAAAAATATTCTAAAAACATTTGGAAACCGTTTAAACTAGTTTTTACGAAAAGCGTAAACTTTATTTTTGAGATAAATAATAAATAATATGTCAACTACTTCTATATAAGAATAAAAAATAAGAAAATGAAATACCGTGAGAAATGTTCCAAGATGATTTAGTAATATTTTCCTTAATGATAAATGCTTTTAAATCTGAAGATGGCACGTATCTGTTTCCGAAACGTCTACAGTAAAAAACAGTTTCAAAAAGTACTTAAAAACAATTCAGAATGACTTGAAACTTGAAATTAGCAAATGGGATTTTTTGCCAAGAACAAAATTCTTCGAAAATTTACACTTTATCGCACGCCTACTTTCCCCAAATTTGGTCTCAAACGATTCAGAATGACTTGAAACGTCTAGAAAACATAAAATTCTCAAATCGGATTTTTAGAATTTATCAATGTTCATGTATGTGATGTTTCTTTTATTTTTAGGGCCAGAACACGGAAAGGTGGTAGTATGTTACGTGGCGACATGGGCAGTCTACAGACCCGGATTAGGGTCCTACGCTTTAGAGGACATCGATTCGACCCTGTGCACTCATTTAATTTATTCTTTTGCTGGTCTTAATGCTACCACGGATAGTCTCAAATCTTTGGGTAAGTAGAAATATATATAAATCATCTGAATGGATGTATATCATTGGATAAAACTTTTTGTGTTAGTCCAAGTGTATTTATAGATGATATTAAATGATAACTAGCTGTAAGTGGAATACTGTCTTAAGGCAATTAGGGCATCGTGCCTTAAGGCAAATTGTTGGAACTTTCCGTACCGCAATTCAAAATTCGAGTATTTAAAAATTATCAATAATAATAATCAATAAAAGTTGATCAATGAGTTGAAACTTTTAATAGAATTTCGAACCATATTAAATCATTCTATCTTAAATCATTTATTTTGAAATATTTTGGAAATTCTGAACTTTTTTTTCAAAGCAATCGTACTGCTTTAACTGCATAAAGACGAAATATCAAAGCGCGTAAGCGCCGCGTCGCCGTCTAACGCGTAAACATTGGTACGGAACTCATGGGAATGTAAACCAAAATTATACTTATTGTTAAAATCTCTATAAAATATGTGATAATTTGATGTGCATATGTCTAATGTTCATTTTTGACCGCCAAATGGCTCATTTTTTTACTTTTTTCTCCATATCTCCAAAGTCGTTGGACCAAAAATTTGAACAGTTCTTCATTTAGTCAATACAAATAAAATGTTTTTTGAATTATTCAAATCGGACGCTCCGTTCTTTTAAAAACTGAGTTACCGTTTTTGGCACTCTTTGCCCCATATCTTCGGAACGGTTAGACCCGCCTTCGCCAAAAACTAATCAGCACGTCTCCTTATCAATACGATTCGAAGGTTTTTTCAATTATTCAAATCGCTTCAACCGTATTCCCGAAATCGTCGACGAAAATTTGTATCCGAACAAACACACACACACACACACACACACACATACATCCATTTTTTCTAAGGTATGCCAAAATGTTCAGAAGGTTTTGAAACGTAAAGATATATAAAAATTTTCATTTTAGATATTTTTGCAATTATTATAACTTGCCCTACGGGAAGTTAATAAATCCATTTAAAACAAAACAACCAATTTCTCATTATTATATCTCTGACTTAATAAAATATACGTATAAATGTATATAGATGAAAATTCAATAAATATTAGTATAGGATATTAAAAAAATGTAGATATGGGTACAGGACCACGTCTGTCGGGTCATCTAGTATATATATATATATATATATATATATATATATATATATTTTTTTATACGTATGTATGTCATTGAACTGCTTCTAAACGGCTAGTCAAATTTGGATAAAACTTTTCGTGCTTGTCCAAGTGTATTTGCAGTTCGCATTAAATATTATAATTTACTGATGAGTCTACTCACTTCTGACTTTTGTTTCTCTTAGATCCCTGGCAGGACCTGAAGGACGACTACGGCAAGGGCGGCTACGAGCGCATCACAGCCCTCCGAGGAAGGGCGCCCCATCTGAAGGTGTCTCTGGCTGTCGGAGGCTGGACAGAGGGCAGCGAAAATTACTCGAAAATGGCAGCTGATCCTGACAGAAGGCGAAGGTTCATACATAGTGCTCTGGAATTCATCAAGTGAGTTAAAAAAACACAAAGACACAGCAATATTTACAATTTTAGAACATTTAACAATGGTCACCAACAATTACAAAAGCAGAATAGACGTCCATCCTAACCAACTAGCATGTCGTTTGTACCAGGAAGGCCAGCCGGCCAGGCTTAAAAGAAAAATACCAGGAGACCTAATATAGTTTGATTAACTAAAATACTTTTATTTTACTATATTTTATTGTTTTATTTCCTTTTATTTTTAGGTTTTTTTAATTATATTTTAATTAGCTCTAGTAGATACGCCACTGAGGGTATCTACTGAATTGTAGTCTATTATTTTACCATATACTTGTTAGCATTCTCTGCTTAACGTAATAATATATACAGATTGCAGTATAAAATTGAATAAAAAAATGAGTTACAAAAGGATCTATTGGCAAGTTGCAAAGATATTGAGGATATAGTAATTCATACGATTTGACATAAATTTAACAAAATGAGAAGAAAGTGCAAGTAAATGCAAATACACACAAATGTTCGAACAATGTCAGTGTGTTAAATAAATATTAACTTTTCAAATTTACACGTCAAGATAAAATCGGTTTTATATCAACCAATACAATTTATGTCGACATGTCATTGTTTATTTCCAGAATTTGATAAAACTGTTTAAATATAAAAAAAATGATTCATTAAAATTCGTGAATCGTACTCAAAATATGACATATGTAAAATATTCTTCATGGAAATTGGTTTACGGGTTTTATTTAAGAAAGTTTTTTTAGAGCGAAAAACTAATGAGCACGTCTCCTTATTAGCAGGAATCGAATGCTTTTTGAATTAATCAAATCGGTTGATCCGTGTTGGCGAAATCGTCGACGAAAATTTGTATCCGCACACATGCGCACACATACACACAAATATTATTTTTTCTAAAGTATGCCAAAATGTTCAGAAACCTCTAAAACTTCTGAAAATTAAAAAATCTATACAACCCTACATTTTTACCCTTCTACCAAAAACAGCTAAATATTCTAAAAACTTGAAATTGTAACAACAAATTAAAAATTTAATCCAATATTTCTGTTATTATTATTATTTCAGAAAATACAATTTTGATGGTCTCGATCTGGATTGGGAATTCCCCGGAAAGAGGGGCGGAGCCCCCGAAGACAAACGTAACTTTGTGCTCTTGGTTAAGGTTAGTACGAAACCTTAAAGAAAAGTTTATATATAGTAAGAAAAATGCAAACTTTTAACTTCAAAAATGAAATTTTAACTTAAAAACGTCTTCTTTATATGTCGCGTTAATTGGATTTTCCAAAAAGTTAAAATTGTTTTTATTATATTGTTATTTTTGTGTATTTTTTTAATGTTCATGTCTCATTTATTGCTTTTATCTTCATTCATACTCATTATTTTAATTTGTATCTGTTTAAGATTGGATTGACAAAAATGAATGGTATTTTTTTTAACTATTCCATTTTATTACAAGACGAAAGATTTCATTTAAGACTACTTGCCAATAGGTCAAATGTCATTCTAGAATATTTAGAGAAACGATAACATGCTCTATGAGTCGATAGAATAATGAAAGTATCGAAAATGTGATCAAAATCACGTTTGACCTTTATATGAAAGCGTTTGTGGAATTATTAACAAACCGGTTTTTTTTGCTCTTTTGACAAATAAATATATAAATAAACATATTTACACATAGATAGACAATGTATATATAAATATATATATATATATATATATATATATATATATATATATATATATATATATCACAGTATATACTCGTATATAAGGCTCTCAAAGAGCTTGACCGATTTTTATTATAATAATCTAATATTTATTTTTCACTCCCGTCAGGGGGCATCCATTGATCGCGTGATCGATATTCTAGGGATTTTTGAACTCCCCCTCCCCCTTAGTTATACGTCGTGATTTTTAGAATTAAACCCGCCCTCCTCCACCAAACTAGTATTTTTGGTTACGTAAAAGTTTCCGAACCCATTTTTCGAATTTCAAAAAAAACGCAAAATTTTAGTTTTTTTTTTGAAAAAAAAAATTTACGTGCTATCTTGCTAGACCCCACACGTGATCTTTCGTGATTTTTTATCAACCCCCCCCCCTCACATATGTAATTAATGAACTTCCCCCTAAAAATAGTCAGAATCGAGAATATTTACATTTTTTTAAAGAAAAAAAAAGCTATGGAATCCTAAATTTTCACACTCCTACAGTAAAGATTTGATTAGTTTTTTTTAAACCCAAAATTTTCACCCTCCTACAGACCAGATTGAACAATTTTTTTAAAACCCGAAATTTTCACCCTCGTACAGAAAAGATTTAATCAATTTCTTTTAAAACCCTAAATTTTCACCCTCCTACAGTAAATTTCTGATCAATATATACATAGAATTTTTTTGTTTCATCTTTTACAATGCCTATTTAAAAAATCCTGGCAACACTAAACTTTCACCTTGATCATTTTTTGTCATTTCATTTTTTTACAATGCTAAATAAAAAATCCATGCAACTTTTACCCCTTCCATAGTAAAGTTCTGATCAATTTATTCATTTCATTATTTTACAATGCCAAATTAAACCCTGGACTTCTCCACCCTCCTACAGTACAGATCCTACAGTAAAAAATTTACCTTTTTTATCAATTTTTACAAAGCTAAATAAAAAATCCATGCGACCCTAAATTTTCACCTTCTTACAGTAAAGACCTGATCAATTTTTATCAAAATCTATGAGATCCTAAATTTTCACCCTCAGACTGTACAGATTTGATTAATTTTTCTATTTAATTTTCTTACAATAACTAAATAAAAGTCCAAAAATTCACGTAGCCCTAAATTTTCACCCTTATACAGTAAAAATCTGATCAATATATTTATTTCATTTTTTACAACGCTGAATTAAAAAATCCTGGCATCAATAAATTTTCACCCTCCTTCAATAAAGATATTATCAATCGAAATTTTGCCCATCGAAATATTGTTTTTAATGTATTTGATCACGTGACTAACTTATTACTATTATTTAGGAACTGAGAGAAGAGTTCGACAAACGCGGCTACATCCTGACGGCTGCCTTAGGAGCCTCCAGGGAAACCATAGACTTGGCATACGACATCAAACAACTCAAAGGGTAAGGGACAAGACAACATTATCATCATCATCATCATTATCGTCATTTCAAATATTTATTTATCAATTTCTCAGTTTATTAGACTTCTTCCACCTCATGTGCTACGACTACCATGGAGCCTGGGACGGACGAGTTGGAGGCAACGCTCCAATCAAAGGAGGTGATCTGAGCATCGTAAGTAAAAAAAAAAGATCAATAGGTCCCCAAAACTAAAGCAAATATCTTATATAAAAATGGAGATCTCTTTCAAATGTCTAACAAGTATGTTATCCGTAAGTAAAACTCGAAAACGCCTAAACCGATTTGGCGAGTCTTATTCTTGAAAAATTCGTGCCAATCCAGAGAAAGTCCAAAAGGTGAGATTATTTCAAATCCGCGTAGAAACTTTACATTTTTAATTTGAAAATTTTTGTAGAAGCGTAATTTAAATAAAACAATGGACGGTGGCTAATACGTCAAATGTCAAACGTTTTTGACAGATGATGTTCAATTACGTTCAATAGGATATTTTACGTAAATATTATTTAATTATGATTGTTTGTAGTTTTATTTATATATAAAAATGTTAGTAAACGGGCCGCAAGTGTTACTAGAAACTCAAAATATCAACTCTCTTGAAATGTTAATATGAGAATGCACCTTTTGGCGTTGTAGCACTCTTTTTTTCTGCAAATCATATTTTTCCCAAACACGGTGCTCTGAAAGATCTCATTTGTATAATTATTTGGTATTAATTATTTGTATAATCATTGGTATATATAAAACATTTTCTAGGATATATTATTTTATAATTATGTTATTTCAATTCAGAACCTAAATTTGGCATCGATCAAAGGGATATTTTGTCGAATAGCATTTTCCCATTTATAATAGATAGTAATATATGAAGGGTTGAAAAATTCTACCACCGACGTGTCAAAAACCAGTAAAGTTAAGCATTGTTCAACAACGCTATTTGAAAGTAGAGGGAAAAAGATGTATAACCAGCTATAACCTTGATTCTCATGTCTTTGCTATCGGTAGATAAACGGTAATCTTTGAAAATCCATAATAAAAGTATTTTCTTCCGTTGGTAGTTTTTTAGCATAAGTTAAAAATGTAATTGTTTTGTAAAATACCTTTAAAATTAAAATAAGACATTAACAATGTTTGCCACCTGGCCGTTCCAAGTTTCTCCGCCTATAGAGTAAATAAGTCTAGATAACAAATTTTTGGAAGACAGCAAAAAAGCACATTTCTACAATGATGAAGTAGCTGGCAGTTTTACTGAACGTAGTAGTCAGATAATAGTTCGTGTGAAATGTGTTATATGTTGTGATATAGTTGGTTTGATTATTATAATATAATTAATATTTGCTCAAAGTCATATTGGGCTTTTACATTTACATTAATTCATCGAAAGTTACTTGAAACTTTTCAAAAAGCAGGTCAAAGAAGAAATACTTAATTCATTTTCTATGTCTACTCGCAGAAATTTGAAAATTTTTTATGAGCTCAGTAGTAGTATTATTTAGTAGTATACAGAAAATTCAGAATCCAAAAAGAATCTGAAAAACTTGAAACGTAATCAATAAGTCGAAAGACCAAAAAAGACTTGGATTAAATGAATTATACCATGTTTTCTATAGAAAGTGTATAAAACTTTTATAATACCTCATTTTATATAGCATTGAAACAACACATCCTTATACACTTAAAGTATTAATTTTTTTAATTCTCTAGAAATCGTTTAGAATATACCTTACTTAGCAAAACAACGTTTGCCGGGTCAGCTAGTTAATAAATAAAATTTTATTTCAGGAGACTACAGTGGATTACCTTTTGCAATTGGGTGCACCTCCAGAAAAACTGGTTTTGGGTATACCGTTCTACGGTAGAACCTTCGTGGTGGAGCAACACTGGGACGCTTTAGACGGTTCTGAAGTGCCTTTGGGGTTGTCTGCAAAGAGTGCTGGTTTTAGGGGTCCTTATACCAGGGAGGACGGATTTATGGGATACAACGAGGTAAGGATTAAGATTCTCGAAATAATAATAACCGTGAAAGAAATTTTTAACTAGTGGTGTATGGCATCGTGCCTTAAGGCAAATTGCTGGAACTTCCCGTACCCGTAATGAAATATTCGAGAAATTTTAAACGTTTTCAAATATATTATTACAAATACTGTAACTTCTTTCATTGCATTTTTTGTTATATCTGAGCAAATCGAATGGAAATCATAAATCAATTTATCTCCAAAACATTAACAATCGTCATTTCATTACGAATTCAATTTAAAAAAAAAAGTTTGCCTAATTTACACAAAATTGAAAAAGTGCTCCCGTATAGTCACAGTCTAAACGAATTTGCAAATAATCCTGTGCGACATTTTCACTTATACTGTGCTTAGCTTGGCAGCATTTTCACATTTTTCAATAGTTTTGTTTTCACAAAATTAGAAAAGTTCTCCAGTACATAAACAGTCTAAACGCGCTTGGGTAAACATTGGTACCAGAGTGGCGTTTAGACTGTGTCATTTATTAATCTTAACTTTTTACCAAATTTACGAAATACTCCTAAACCATAAGTGTTATCCTAAAGTTGTATTATAAACATTGGTGACGATCAACTTCTAATAAAAAACAGAAAATGGAAAAAACGAACTCTACTGACGATCAAATTCTAATAAAACACTGAAAAAAATAAAAAAAGACACTACTGACTCGCAAATTCTAAAAAAACACTGAAAATGGAAAAAACGAACTCTACTGACGAGCAAATTCTAATAAAACACTAAAAAAATGAAAAAGACACTACTGACTCGCAAATTCTAACAAACACTAAAAATGGAAAAAACGAACTCTACTGACGATCAAATTCTAATAAAACACGAAAAATGAAAACAGGACTCTACTGACAAGCAAACTTAAATACGAGAATTAGAATAGGAAAGGGACTCTACTGACGACCAAATTGTAATGAAACACATTTAGCTCTTTATCTTCGAAATGACGAGACCTGACTTTGCCAAAAACTAATCACCTCTTCTCCCAATCATTACAAATTGAACGTTTTTTAGATCATTCAAATCCGTTCTCTCAAAAACTCGATTTGTATTTTCTGCACTCTTTGCTACATTTCTCCGTAACGGCTCGATCTGCCTTTGCCAAAAACTAATCAGCACATCTCCCTATCAATAGGAATCGAATGGTAAATGAATCATTCAAATCGGTTGATCCGTGCGCCCGAAAACGTGGACGAAAAAATGCGGTCATACAAAACACACACACACATCCATTTTTGTCTGAGGTATGCCTTTTAAAATGTTCAGAAACCTTCAAAATGTCGAGAAATGCAAAAATTTTCATTTTCGATTTTCGGCCCATGACTATAACTACCCTACGAGAAGTTAAAAATAAAGAAATCCTATAAGGAAATTGAAGACAAAGAGTTATATATAAAGATATTTTAATTATAATAGATATTATATTAACGAAATTGTTCTCGCCAATCAAAGCATGCGGGTATATACGAAATAGAAAACAAAAAAATCATCAATCGATTTATTATAAAATTAAACTCAAATCATCATCAACACGTAATAAAACCATATTAAATTATTATAAATACGATGTAATTTATGTAATTAAAGTAAAATAAATATTACTAGTTACAAAATCAAAGTATTATATTTACAATCGGTCCTTCGAAAAGCAAAATTCAATTCAAGCAACACCCTAAAAAACAGAAATAGTCAAGTGAAATATATATATAAAATATGAAAACTGTTTTCATAATCTCTCATACCACGCACCTCTGCCTGGCTGAGATTTGAAAATAATGCAAATATATAAATGCAAATATATAATTGTTTTATTCGATTTTAGATCTGTACAGCCCTCAACAACTCAACCGGAGGTTGGCAAAGTGGTTGGGACTCTGAAGGATCCCAGGCAATCGCCTGGACTAAGACAGGACCCGAAAACGAAACCCTACATGTGGTCACTTATGACAGCACGAGATCCGTTGCCAATAAAATGAGGTAAAAACTAGTTGGTATTGGTATTTTGCCTTGAGGCAAGTTACATGAACTTCCCGATATGTGTAAATAATCGACTTAATCAATAATAAACAAATTAATTTATGAGTGATTAGAAGTATTCCGAGAGGATTTATTACACATAATTGAAAACGAACGAACACGTTAACTCGGAGTATTTTCTAAAAGCACATTTTCAAAAATCTATAATTTTTATAATTGAGACAGTTTTTTGTAGGACTTTAATTGTTTAGCATGTTCATTAAGACCAAGTACTCTATCGTTATACCAAGTAAATCACCTAATTTTATTTTTAACAAACGCCAAAAAAACTACTCATTTTCTCAAACTTTGATGAATTTTTAAAGTTAAACTACTTGTCGTAATATTTCAGTAAGTTCTATAAAACCATGATATATATTGCCGAAAAAGTTACATAAAAATCGGTTTAAATTTTTTTTTTCAACAGCTAATTACAAAAAAGCGGTTTGGTAGATTTTCACTTAAAACTAGTCAGTATCATTCCCAACTAATATCTTTCGAACAGTTTTTGATTTTTTAAAATCGAATCGGTAGTTTGAGCTTAAATGTGGACGAAAAATTTAACACTCTTTTTCAAATTACAAAGAAACGGTTTGGCAGATCGTCTCACAAAACCGACAAACGATAATCCTCATCGAGATACATCATATGGCTTTTAAATTTCTGAAATCGGTTCAGGCGTTTTTGAGAAAACGTCGATGAAAAGTCCAATTTTGACAAATGCCAAAAAAACATACTAATTTTTGCAAACTTTGACGAATTTTCAAAGTTAAACCAATTGTCGTAGGGTCGTAATACTTTAGTATGATCTAGAAAACTATGGTGTCTACCGTCAAAAAAATAATCACAAAAATCGTCGAAAAAAATTGTTTTAACAAAACTTTATTACAAGAAAACGGCCCGGCCGATCTTTACCAAAAACTAATCAGCACGATTTCCAACCAATATCTTTCAAACGGTTTTTGAATTTTCAAAATCGATTAAGAATTGCGAGCTAAAACGTGGACGAAAATTTTTTCATTTTTCTGCAATTTACAAAGAAACGGCTCGGCCGATCGTCGCACAAAACTGACAAGCAATAGTCCTCATCGAGATATATCGAGTGTCTTTGAAATTTTTGAAATCGGTCCAACCGTTTTGGAGAAAACGTCGATTTACGGCAAAAAATCTGTTCACACACATACTTTTTCCAAATGTTGGTCAAAAATATCAAAATTCATAAAAATCTATTTTTTTTTCTTTTTAAAAAAATTTTAAAGATTTTTCAAATTTCAATTTTTGATACGGGAAGTTCCAGCAATTTGCCTTAAGGCACGATGCCAGGCACCTCTAGTTTTTTTTAAATCATTTATTTATTTATTCAAATTTATTTAAATCATTTATTGTGAACTAATTGAAGGATTATCATGAAATTTTAACAGACATATTATTAAAGTTGGTACTTTAAACAAATCATATGGATTATTACATTGCAATGACATCTATGTATCATTTTATTGATTTATTGAGTGAAGTAACGTTAGGTGCATGATCTATAAAAATTTTACTAAATTTTTGCATATTCATAAAAAATGAGCATATTTTACTCTTTTACATTTTTTTGAAAATTTCTGAATCACTTTTAAGTAAAAGAACTATAAAAAATCTGTTCACATACACCACACACCATGCATACATAAATACTTTTATAAATAAATTTGGTCTTATTCGATTCAGAATGTCTCTTAAAACGTCCAGGAGAAAACATAAAATGAGCGAATCGGATTTTTTGATGAAAACATAAACTTCTCCTTCGGGAAGTTAAAAAACAATCTTACCTTCAACTAAATCTTAGTTTCACCAAATACACCATCCTTTATCTCCTTTACCCAGGTTTCTGGTTCAGCGTAAGTTGGCAGGTGCAATGAGCTGGTCGATAGACACCGACGACTTCCACGGAAATTGCCCAAACTCCGAATATGCAGAGACCTACATGGACTACCACTACTACAGGCCATCAGGCAAAAATTCAGGATCCAGAAAATATCCTTTATTGAGGACCATCAATGAAGCTATAACTGTAGCCCAGGAAGAACTCAGGAAGGAGGAGGAAAATTTGATACCAAAACATGATGATGGTGACCAGGCACAACAAGTAGTGGTAATACTTGTGCAGGAGTCGTTGGATGTGTGATGGTTTTGATGAATTTGGTGCTGATGATGAAATAGAGATTAGGATTAGGATTAAAATTGTATAAATGATTAATAAATGTGTAAATAATAAATTGTATTATACTTGCCTACTTCTGAAACTTCTTGATTATAAGTAAATAATTTGATGTAATACGATCAGTTTTATATTTCGAATCATATAATATAATATATACACAAGCGGAAAGTATATTATATAATTATTATAATTTAATATTAATATCGAAAATGACAAAAGACAAAGAAAAAATCAACATGTTTTCACTACTAGATCTTTTTTTATAAAAATGTATCGTTTTCCCAAAGTCTTTCCAAAGATGATAATTCTGAATATTGTCGACAGCGTTACGAAAAGTGTTACCAGGGACGCAAACGAAAGTGGAGAAAAAAATGTTTGATAAAAAATGGTAATTTTCAACCAACAGTCCAAAACTTCTACTAAATGTATACAGTTAAGACCAGAAGTTTAGAATTTCTACCAAAAGTATAAAATTTCGATTATAAGGATAAAATTTTAATCAAAGGTCTGATCAAATGTTTAGAAATTCGATAAGGGCTCGAAAATTTTGATAAGAGCTCGTAAACATTGGCCAAAGGTATAAAATTTTAGCCAAAATTTTTATCAAATGTCTAAAATTTAGACCACGTGAACAGGATTTTATAATTTAGAACTAAAATCTAAAATTCTAACCAAAACTTAAAAACTCTGATGAAGACAGAACTCTAAAATTCTAGTCAGAACTCTAAAATTCTAGTCAGGACTCTAAAATTCTGACTAGGACTCCAAAATTCTAGTGAGGACTCTAAAATTGTGTCAGGACTCTGAAATTGTGGTCAGAAATTTCTGACCAAAACTCTAAAAATTCGACCAGACATCTAAAAATTCGGCCAGACCTCTAAATTCTAATCAGGACTCCAAAACACTGGAAAACTGACCAGAACTCTG